GAGGCTGGCAGTGGAACCACTGAGCTAAATCCCCAGCCCAACTTTGCTTTTTTTTTTTAATTTTTGGTACCAGGGATCAAACTCAGGACCATGGGCTTGTGAGGCAGGCGTGGTGCCACTGAGCTGAGTCTCCAGCCCTTTTCTGTCTTTTTTGAAATGGGACCTCACTATGTTGCCCAAGGCTGATCTCAAACTCCTAGGGTCAAGTGATCCTCTTGCCTCAGCCTCTCCAGTGCTGGGATTACAAGTATGGAGTACCACACCTAGCTTCCCTTCTGGTTTGGTTTGGTTTGGTTTGGTTTGGTTTCGTCTGGTACAGGGTATTAAACTCAGGGAGCACTGAGTTACATCCCCAGCCCTTTTTAATTTTATTTTGAGATAAGCTTTCCCTAATTTGCCAAGCTGGGCTTAGACTTGCCACCACCCTCCTGCCTCGGCCTCTTGAGTCCACTTGCTTTGCCAGTGGCACCTTTTAGTTTGGACATAAACTTTTTCTCACTCCTTTTGCAGCTGTCCCTTGTGTCAATTCAGGAACATTGAGTTGGTCTCAAACCATGACACTCATCAGTGAACTGGGACAAGGAGGGACAGCCATTGCCACCCAGGCCAGTCCCATGAGGGGGCACCAGCCTGGCCTTTTCTGACCCCTGCTTTGGCTTGGCCTAGTAAGGGACTGCCTTCTTGGAGCCTCAGTTTCCACCTCTGTAGTGCAGCGACTCTGGCCATGGGCATTTGGACCCCATCGGTACGAGTCAGGTGGGATCAGGGCCGGGTGCTGTCTTGGCACCTGCTTCCTCTGGGTCAGCCCCACCCTGGTTGCAGCTCTCAATGTGCTCTGACAACCAGGAGACAAGTTTGCAGGGTTATATAGGTGGCAGCAAGGCCCGACTGACCCCAGTTGTTTGTGGCCTCTTTCTCTGCGTCTTGCTGTCATTTGTGTAGGGGGAGCTGCCTCGCCCCACGGCAGGGACTGTCGTGTACTACACAGCACGCGCAGCACCCACCTTTCCAGTCTCCAGCAAGCTCGCCCTGGAACACGGCTGCCCAAGGCTGCAGATAAGGGGCTGTGGGCCTGAAGGAGAGGTGTCCCCGCCGGCTGTGACCATGCCTCTGTACCTGGCTGATCAGCCTTGAACCTTTAGGCTTGGAGCCCTTCCAGGCTCAGCTTCGGGCTCTGTGGCTCCAGACCTGTGTCGGGGCCATACTCCAAAGCTGCCAGCCAGGACCCTGGAGTCGTGGTGTACTTGGGAATCCCGTCAGTGGCACTGGCAAGGGGCCTTGTGGAGTTGATTCCTATGAACCATCCCCAGCTCTGCTGCCCCCCAGCAGTGTGGCCTTGGCTGCACTGCCCTGTCTGGGCCTCAGCTGTCACCCCTGAAGAATGTGGCAGCCCCCTGGGTTGGTACAGCAGCAGGGCTTACTTCCACCTCCATGAAGAGGCGCTGTCGAGTGTCCGTGCAGCATCTGACCCTTTTGGGGCACCCCTGGGTGTAGAGGGGTAGCTGCCCCCATCTCACGAAAGCCTCCCCACAGCTGGCTTGCGGCCAGGACGGGCAGCTGAAGGGCTTCGCAGTGCTGGAGTACGAGACTGCTGAGATGGCTGAGGCGGCACAGCAGCGGGCTGACGGCCTGGCCCTGGGGGACAGCCACCTCCGTGTGTCCTTCTGCGCCCCCGGGCCCCCTGGCCGCAGCATGCTGGCTGCGCTCATTGCTGCCCAGGCCACGGTGAGTGTGCAGGAGGGGTGTGCAGGTGGTCATCAGGTGTCTGCAGCAGCCAGGCCGTGCTCAGCTGCCCTGTCCCCCTCCACAGGCCCTCAACCGTGGCAAGGGGCTCCTGCCTGAGCCTAACATTCTGCAACTGCTCAACAACCTGGGCCCATCCGCCTCCCTGCAGCTGCTCCTCAACCCTCTGCTCCACAGCAGTGTGGGAGGCAAGCAGGGTAAGCGGGCGTCCCACACATGCCTTGCCTGCCTCTTACCTAGCCCAGACCGACGTGGAGGCCCCTCCCAGAGGCGGGATTATAGGGAGCGGGGTCCTCCACAGTGCACCCTACCCTGCCCTTCCTAGGTCCTTCCTTAGCTTCCTGGCCCATCCATAGCCAGGGCTATGTTGAATGGTAGGGGAAAGGGTTCCCCATCTGAGGGCCACCGCCCAGCTCTCTGCATCTCCCCCAGGCCTCCTGGGTGCCCCCCCAGCCATGCCACTGCTCAGCGGGCCAGCCCTGTCCACAGCGTTGCTGCAGCTCGCCCTGCAGGCCCAGAGCCATAAGGTAACAGCAGACCCCCTGCACCCCATGCTGGTAGCCCTGCCTGCCCCTGCCTAACACCCCCCATGCCACCCTGGTGCCTCGAGAATGAAGGAACTCACCCCTCTACTCATGGTGGGGCCTGCCCTTGCCCTGCAAGGGACGCCAGGCCTTGGTAGCCAGAGCAGGGATGAGGGGAGCTGGACACGCCTAGTTATAGCCAAAAAACAGGTGTGGGTGGGGAGTCCTGCCCCCATCCCTGTGCCAGGGAAGAGTGCCCTGCCCTTACCACACATGCACACACACGCACACAGGTGCGAGGCCGCAGATATGTGGGTTATCGGCAAGTCCAAGAGGTACTATGTGGGTTGCTTTGCTGGGTTCCAGTCAGTGATGGGCTGTGTCTGGTGGTGACAGTGAATGTGTGTGCTTGGGGCGTTATGGGACTAAGTGTGACCAAAACCCTCTGGCTATCACACACGATATGGCTGTTGTCACACTGTGCTGTGTGATCAGCCAGGAGGCTGGGTAGCCCTGGCGTGCTGGGTACACCCTCTGTCCCCCCAGGGCCCTGGGGTACCACAGGCTACATGTGTGTGTGCCTGAGATTGCCATCCACAGCTGACTATGTCTGTCCTAGAAGCCTGGGATCCTGGGAGACTCGCCCCTGGGCCCCCTCCAGGCTGGGCCCCAGCCAGCCAACCCCCTCCTCGGGGACCTGTCAGCAGGTAACACCGACTCGGCCACCCCACCTCTCCTGGACACCTTCCCTGTCCTCTTGCCCAGCCCCCTTCCTCCCTGGGAGTGGTGAGTTCCCAGCTGTGTGGCCTTGGGCCAGTGACAGCCTCTCTGGGCCTCAGTCTCTTCGTCTGTCACTGAGTGGGGTGTCCACGTCATGGGGCAGCCAGGGGCATCCTGGAGGTTGGTGCCCGGGGATACCTTTAGTCTGTGCTGGCTCTAGTGCCCTGGGAGGAAGGGACTGGGGGCTGGGTCCCTGGGGACACTCTACTCTCTCTGCAGGGGGGACCCTCGCCCCAGAGCTGCCACCTCGGCGAGGAAAGCCACCACCCCTGCTGCCACCTCTGCTGGGCCCCTCTGGGGGTGACCGGGAGCCCATGGGCCTGGGTCCCACAGCAGCCCAGCTCACCCCACCCCCTGCCCCTGTGGGGATCCGAGGCCCAGGTCTGAGGGGCCTGCAGAAGGACAGTGGGCCCCTCCCCACACCCACCGGGGTAAGGCTGTACCCTATGGGTGTACCTTTCCTGCCTCCTGCCCTGCACTGCCCCTCTGCCTGTGCCCTTGGTGAATCCAGCCCTCTGTCACAGGTCTCACTGCTGGGGGAACCCCCCAAGGACTACCGGATCCCCCTGAATCCCTACCTAAACCTGCACAGCCTGCTCCCAGCTACCAACCTGGCTGGCAAGGAAGCCCGGGGCTGGGGGTGTGCCACGAGAGGCCGCCACCAGGCCGAGGGGGCCCTGCCCAACCCCCCAGCCCCAGGTGGAGGCTCTGGCACAGGTGGCAGTGGCAGCAAAGCCTTCCCACTTAAGTCCCGCCTCCTCAGCCCCCTTGCTGGTTCCCGCCTGCCCCCCGAGCCCGGGCTGCCCGACAGCTACGGCTTTGACTACCCCTCGGTGAGTACCTAGTTGCCCTAGCCCCACCGTCCCCGAGTTCCAACTGCTGTGGCTTTTTGTTCCCTTGACCATGTCATTCTCTAAAATGACGCAGGGTGGCCTTGATCCAAAATCCAGAAGGTCCCAAGTTGCAAAACTTTTTTCCTTTGAGGCAGTCTCACTGTGTCACCCGGGCTGGCCTCAAACTCACGATCTTCTTGCCTCAGCCTCCTGAGTGCTGGGGTTATACACAGGTGACACTATCCCTGCCCCCACCTTGGCAGCACTGAGAATTGAACCCAGGGAGCACTGAGCTGTATCCCCAGCTCTTTTTAATTTTTATTACGGGATGGAGTCTTGCTTAGTGGCCCAGGCGCTGGTCTCAGTCTCAGTTGCAATCCTCCTGCCTCAGCCTCCTCAGCAGCTGAGATTACAGGCATGCACCACCATGCCTGACTACATCTGAAGCTTTGAGCACCACATCAGACCTCGCCTTGACCACATGACAGGTCATAGTCAGAATGCAGACATACAAAGAATGGTGTATAAAATGACCTTCTGTGCGTGTAAGATTTCTCTGAAATGGAAATGAGCTTCCTTTCAACTTGGGTTCTGTTCTTGAGAGGCCTCATTTTTTTCTCAAATCCAAAATCCAGAATGATCTAAAGTCCAAAACTCAACCACATTTTGGGGGTATGTGCCTGGGTGGTACTGGAGATTGAACCCTCACACTGAACTGTATCCCCAGCCTTTTTTTCTTTTTTTGATCCAGGGCCTTGCTAGGTTGCCCAGGCTGGAATCCTCCTGCCTTAGCCTCCCAGAATGCTTAGATGACAGCCATGTGCTCTCATGCCTGGGCCTACCATATTTCTTTAGGACTGGTTGTGTCAAGCCAAGCATTTAGGCACACTGCAGGGAACCTGCCAGATAACGGTCCCTGCCACAAGTCTCCTGTCTGTCTGGCCTTGCCTGTCACCCCTCCCTTGTCTGTCTAGGACCTTCACATTCTCACCCTACACGCAGCTATCCTGTCTGTCTGTCCATTTGTGCCCTTTTTGATTCCTGGAGATTAGTCCTTCTGTGATGCCAGCCTGCTTCTGTTCAGAAACTTCAGACTGACCCCTTGCAACCCATACCTATTATGTTTGGCCCACATAGGCTTAAAACAAACTGTCAACTGAAATAAATGCCAAATATGAAAATGGGAAGGGTTCATATTCTGAGGTTCCCTGCGTCCCTTGAAAACAGAACTGCTGACCACCTCTGGATCACCGTGGGGACCCAGGCACCTCTGCCCCGGGACAGTACACACATCTGGTCCCATTCCAGCTGCCCCACCTGCTCACAGCCCTCCGCAGGCTGAGTTTGCCCTCTTGAGCACCCTGGTGCTGCTGTGCTGCAGAATAGCCCAGGCTGAGACCGGCACAGACCTGGCTTACGTGTCCCTGTCCTTTCCACTCAGGACGTGGGACCTCGGCGGCTCTTCTCCCACCCCCGGGAGCCAGCCCTAGGGCCTCACGGACCCAGTCGACACAAGGTAAGAGGCACCATGTATACCCTGCCCCCTGAGTGCAACAGGTAGATCTGGCTGCGTAACAAGTGGCCCCATCTGCTGTTAAGCATAGCAAACATTTTTTTGCAATGAGGTCTCACTGTGTTGTCCAAGGTGGCTTCGATCTAGGCTCCCCTCAGCCTCCTAAGTAGCCGGGACTGCAGGCATAGGCCATGGTGGCTGGCTGCAGATGTTTTCCCTGGAGGACAAAGGGCAAGCTGATCCTCACATACCAGCTGTCCCCATAACACTTGTTACGGCCAAGCCCAGGATCTTTTGGGGGGATCCTTCATCACTCATCCACTCCCCGCTCTCTGCAGATGTCCCCTCCACCCAGTGGCTTCAGCGAGCGGAGTGGAGGAGGCGGGCCTCTCTCTCACTTCTACTCGGGCTCACCCACCTCCTACTTCACCAGTGGCCTGCAGGCTGGCCTCAAGCAGAGTCACCTCAACAAAGTGAGGAGCAGGTCCCCAAGGGGTGGCCAGCATGCGGGCAGTGGGCCTGCCCTCAGGGTGCTGTGACCTCAGTGCCTTGGCCACAGCTGCAAGTGGCAGGTGCAAAGAACACCTGAACCCCTTTGGCCCTTTCAGAAGTGAGGAAGTGACCTGCGCTCTTCCTTTTCTCCAGGCAGTTGGCTCCTCCCCACTGGGCTCCAGTGAGGGGCTCCTGGGCCTTAGCCCAGGGCCCAATGGCCACAGCCACCTGCTGAAGGTACGGGCAGGGGATGGGGAGGCACAGGGCTGGGGAGTTCCAGCCCTGGGGCGCCCCCTCACCCAGTCCCCCATGCCCTCTGTCTCCAGACCCCCCTGGGTGGCCAGAAACGAAGCTTTGCCCACCTGCTGCCCTCACCTGAGCCCAGCCCGGAGGGCAGCTACGTGGGCCAGCACTCCCAGGGCCTTGGCGGCCACTACGCAGACTCCTACCTGAAGCGGAAGAGGATTTTTTAAGGGGCACTTTGGGGCTTTCTGGTGTTTTGTGGTTGTTTTTGTTTTTGTTTTTGTTTTTTAAATTTTCCTTATTTTGGGTAATAGAGAAATCTCTGAAAGACTTTGCTGACCAACTAGCCAGAGCCCAAAGAGTATGGGGGTGCCCGGCGCTCTGCACCTCCAGCCTGCTCTGGGTGTGGGAACCCACAGCCTTAAGAGAGAGGGGCCGGGCCTGCTCTCTCCCCACCTGCTCCTGTCCTTGCCTGGGCCTGGCTCTTTCTCGGGGTCCCCTCCTGCCTTGTCACTCCTGTTTTGGCCTTTTGAGTGCCTTGGAGGTTTCCCTGACCTCCCATGAGGATCAGAGACTGTCCCCCTGCTGCCTTTTTAACTCTTGACAGTTGACTTTGTTTCCTTTTCTAATTTTTATTATTTTTTAAGCCATCCCAGATGACCCCACAGCTCTGATTCCTTCAAGGTCCTGCCTCTCCAGGCCTCCATTCCACACTTCTGATTCCAACTGCCTCAGCCCTCTCCTTTCTCCCAGTCTGCTGCAGTCATGGCATCTCTTGCCACTACCTGCCTACTCTAGCCAGTACCCCACCCTGTCCCCTGCTCCCTGCCACAGCCTCCTGGCCTTCTGATGCCTTAACGTTGGCCTGCAGGCCTCACTGGCCAGAGCTTCTCAGACGCCAAGCCCTGCAAGCTTGACTCAGGACCAAACAGCTCTGGCCTCAGGCTTGGGCCCCTCCACCTGGGGACTCCACCCTGGGGACAGTAGAAGGCCGAAGCCTCGGTCTTGGCACACCTCCCCCCCCCCCCCCCCCCCCATCCCACCCAGTCCACCCAGGCCTAGGTACAGAGACAGGCGTTCTCAGCTGGCTTCAGCCAGTCCCTGCTGTCTGTCTGGGAGTTGGCCTTGTGCTATCTCACTGAGCCTCTGCTGTCTCCCCATGAAAATGTGCCCCAACCCCCTCAGGCCTGATCGAAGATCCGCGTCCTGGCCTTCTTCCAGCCCGGTTCCGGAAACCAACAACTCCTTGCAGATAGGGCCTGCCCACAAGCAGGACCTGTCCATCTGGGGTGATCCTGGACCCCACCCCCAGCCACCAGCTCCCCTCTCCTGATTCTAGGGCCCACGTCCATTCCAGGGTTTGCCCTCCCCATCTTCCCACACAGGCCTTTGCTGAATTAAAGTTTGTAAGTAAATGGTTTTAAAGAAGTAAGAGTTGGCTTGTTCTTGGGACAGAGGGGCACCTGGGTGGGAAGTCTGGGATAGCCCCGTGAGTGTGTGTGTGCGCGCGGGTGTGTGTGTGGTCTCCCGCGTGGCTCCTTTACACCACGTGGGCCCCTTATGGTCGCGGCCCCAGAGCAAACTTCGCAGTTCGTGTTGCTCTGGCCTCTGCTCGCACGGCTGGCGCTGCGCATGCCCAGTCGCGCGGTCACGTGACATCTGTCATGGCCGCCTCCACGGCCCGGGGCGGCGTGACTGTCAGGCTCCTGTTGCGAGCTGCCAGGGCCTCCTGGTGGAGTAGGACTGGGGAGGCAGCGTTGCTGACAACCAGGAAATTTCGGACGACAGGTACTCCGATCGCCAGGGACAGACTGCGTTAGCCGGTTGGTGCCCGCAGGGCGGGCGCCTCCGCTCACTCAACTGTTTTCTAGGCAGGCGCCTGGCAGAAGGGGACATCGGCGGCCCTGAGCGGCCCGGGGACGTGTGAGTGCAAGACAAAGTGTCCCGTTCCTCGTCCCACAAGGTTTCCCAGGTTCCCGCCTTGCCTTGCAGCTTCTCTCTGGGGTTCTTTATCTGCCTCGCCCTCTTCTATCCCTGTCTATCTAGCTCGAACCCCGAGTTCCTGACCCTATGAGGCCCCTGAGCTTGTCCTGCACCTCGACATCCACACCCCCGTGTGTCCCCAGGGTGAACGTGGTGTTCGTAGACCGGTCAGGCCAGCGCATCCCGGTGAGCGGCAGAGTTGGGGACAATGTCCTCCATCTGGCCCAGCGCCACGGTGTGGACCTGGAAGGTAGGAGCCAGGAACAGAAAATTACCCATCCCAGCCTAATCCATTCTTTCAGAAATTGACGATCAAATCAGCCTCTCCACTGCTTAGATCACCCATGGCTTCCCACCAAATATGTATTAAAATCCAAAGTTTACATCTCTTATTTAGTAGCCATTTATTACAGGCCTGCCCACTAGAACTCACCGTTCAGAGCTTGTGTTCTTTTGTTTGCTCTTGTTTCCTCCATGCTAGCAACAGTGTGTGAATGGTACTGGGGATTGAAACCAGGGCCATTATACTGAGTTATATCCCAAGCCCTTTTGAGACAGGGCCTCACTAAAAGTTGCTAAATTGCCCCGGGTGGGCTTGAAGTTGTGATCCCCCTGCCTAAGCCTCCCAGAGTGATGGGATTACAAATTTGTGCCACCATCCCAGGCTCCATATTGATTTTCCTTTTTGTTGTTGTTTTCTGAAACAGGGTCTTGTAATATAGTCAGCCTGGTCTTGAATTCACTATGTAGCCCAGGCTGATCTCAAACTCTTGGCGATCAGTCCTCCTCCCTCAGCCTCCCAAATGCTGGGATTACAGGTGTGGCAACACTGGGCCTGGTACACATTGGTTTTCTTGATGTTCTTCAAATAGCCAAGCTCATTCCTGCCCAAAGACCTTTGAATTTGCTGTTTTCCCATGTCAGAAGTGGTTTCCTAACAAATTTTTTTCCTTTTTTTTTTTTTTT